GCAGCACAGCAGGGCAGATAAACTGGCCAAGGTCTCTGGGGCCACATTACACTGTGAACTGTAGGGTTGCTAGGAGTCTCGAATACACTGCCAGAACCCCCTGGAGAGACAGGTTTGTACACAGCAGCTTCATCTAGAAGAGAGGCTGAACCCGGGATCCAAGCTGTTCTTGGCTCTTCCTTACACAGAAGGCTGGGTCCCGAAATGCTGTTCTGGCTTTTGCATGGAGCTGCTTGACATTTCCATTCCTGAGGTCTTTGCAGGGGCAGCATTTACTTTCCCTGCTTTTCTCCTTTTGGAGCCCAGTGGCCTAAGGTGTGGCTTCCAGGCCCGTGCACCTGATGAACAGGCTCTCAGTGGCACCGCGGGGGGCTAGAAGCCTCTTTATCTCTGTTCTCTTTTTGAATTTCTCCAGGGCTTACTAGCATTTTTTTCCTTTTGCTTCTGTTTTTCCAAGTGAAGGGCATGTTCTACCTGCTACAGCTTCACCACTGTCTACTGCTAAGCTGTGGCAGTCCAGTTTTGTCACGGGTCTGTGGCCTCTTCTCACATCGTTCTTCATGGAGCTTGTGTTTTTGCTCTGAGTCAAGTCATTAACCTCGGACTCCACCTGGTATTCATTAAAAGACGTGTGCTCCATCCCACACCCCCACAAGTGTTATTAAAGCAAGTTTGGAACTAGAGACATTCAGTTGAAATCAGCAGGGCTTGAAGATGCCTCCCACTGAGCAGCTAACTCCTAGAGGCAGCCTAAAGGCGGTAGACCGTTTAGGATTCAGACATTAAACTCAAACCCAAGGCATCTGCAAGACAGAGCGAAAGAACCAAGGCACAACTTAGTCCCTTCCTTTCCCCCCAGGCTAGCAGAGTGGATGGGAAACATGCTTGAGTTCTGCTGCCATCTGTTGGTGGTTCCTCAATACAGTCAGAAGGGCTGAATTGGAAACCCAGGCACCCAGTCAAGATTTCCTTTTCAAAAAAAACTTGCTATTGAAGGCCACAGATGGGAAAGAAATCAGGTACCCGAAGGCTGCACTCCAGTTCAAAAAGCAATTTAGAAAGTAGACTATGGGCAGGGGGAGTGGAGATAGATGTGAAAGGCGAACTAAGTCTAAATTTAAGAACAGGGACATTAGAAACTTTATTCAATAAATACAACAAATAATTTAAAAATATATTTCAATTCCAAAGCCAATTAAGAAGAGGAAGGAGAGAGAAAGGGAAAAAAAGGAGGAGAAAAGGAGAAAGAGGCCAAACAATGGTTTGGTTGGGCTATTTCAGAATGTACCACCCTTTGAAATTCTGACCAAATGCTCTTGACCCATAAACCCTTAGCCCTTGTTCTGACGGGGCAGCCACAGGAGTCCACCAGCCAGAAGGATCCTCCGGGCTCTGGGTCATAGCCCTCTGGAAGCTGGCATGTGGGGGCAATATTGGGGGAAGTTTCCCACTCATTCCTCAAACCATCCGTCCTAACTCCCAGGCAGGTTTAAATAGTGCAAACTCTTAGGCAGAGAGCTCCCAGCTGCATAGTTTCGCAGGTTGAGTGTACAGAGCACCCGGGGTCCAAAGCCACTTCGGTGAACAGGATCTAAGGGTGAAGAGAGGAGAGGCCAGGGCGCAGGACAAAGCTCCTGGGCTAAGCCAGCGGCCAAGCCGGTAAACAGTGCTGGGCAGAAAAGGGCTACAGGGCAGGTAGTCTGGACACGGGATTCGACAGCTTGCCGCCAGCCGGGAAGTTTGTGAAGCTGAGGATGCGTACGGAGCAGGCCCGGGAGGATCAGGAAAGCTGAGGGAGAACAGAAAAGTTGGGAAGAAGGAGGAGGCAGCTCAGCAGCAAACTCCAGGAGAAATAACCAGCAGCCCTCACAGATTTGTGATTGTCTCTTAAAAAGATTTATTTTCTCTTCTTGCCTGAATGTACAAAGGCAAAAAGAGTACAGTTTGTATATATATATATTTATATATATATATATATAAAAAAACAAGGAACTTGGTAATGTACACTTTACAGAAGGGAAGAATCAGGAAGACTGAAATTAATCCAACAGAGCAACGCCAAAGGAACAAAAGCTATGAACAGCAACACTGCCCCTCCGGCCCGGGCCTCCAGCTCGCCCCAACCTGCTCCCAATAGGGGGCGGCTGAGCACCAAGGCAAGCGGGTGGGCTGGGGCAGGAGGGGCTGGGGACAGGGCCTGGGAGGGGCTTGATCCCAGGAGGGGCCTATGATAGGGGGTCATTGGAAAGCTTCCTGGGATGCCCTAGTAATAAAACAAACGACAAAGGCCCAGAATTATGGGGCCAACTAGCTGCCCAGTTGAATCTTGGGGGCATCAGAGTAGACAACGGGATGGCGACAGGGTATACGGGATAGTGAGTGACATGAGTGGCCTCAAAGCCTGTATGCAGTATTATTCTCTAGCCCTTCTGCAGTCTTAGATCCCAACTCCCTAAGCTAAATCCTCCCGCAGCCCCTTGGAACTTGGAGAGAAGAGATTCAAGAAATCACCATTTCATTTCATAGGTGCCCTCTTACCCTTCTGCGTGTGGTTCTTTGACTTTGAGATGTGTGGAAAGAGTGGGGTAAGAGAAGGAAATTTCATACATGTACACATACATGTGCACATACATGTGCAAGGCAGGAAAAGGGGATAAAGGGGACTGGCACACCTTAAAATACGGAAAAAGGAGATATGAGTCCTAAAGAGAGCTCTCCGGGCCTTGGCTGCCCTACCTGGGGATGAGGCTCTTTCCCCTTTAGCTCTGTCTCTGCGGGGAGCCCAGTGAGTGAGGCAGGGGCCTCAGAGACAGGCTCGGTGGTCACTGGGGCCTTAGCAGCAAACCCTTCCAGCCCTGGCCTGTGGGGTGGCGAGCCTCGCCGAGGGTCTCAACCCTCTGACCAGGTCATGGGTCCCACAGGTAGTGCCCACGTATGTTTCTCCTTCCCACGTAGCGGGGCTGGAGGTGGCGAGCAAATTGTTCTCAGCACTTGTCAAGGGCTCCACCGCTGCTGCTTCATGTAATTTCAGGGAAGGAAGACGGGACCCGGGAAGGAGCGGGGACCCGGAGAAAGCAGTGCCACTCTGCCACTGCTGCATTTGCCTGCTTTTCTGGGCAGCTCCTACTCTTCAAGGGAGACGTGAATATAAGAATCAAAGAGCCAAGTATTTTTTTTTGAGGGAAAAAAAAAAAGAAAAGAAAAAGCCACACCCTTCTGCAGAACCCAGGGCTGCCCAGCTAATACAGAAGTTCCTCCTCTCTGTTACAGAACGAAGTGGAAGGGGCAGGAATGTGGGCCGCGCCTGCCCAGTGAGAAAGAAAATTACTCCAACGGTTTCTTTACAATATGTACAGAGCACGCTGTAGGCAGCGCCACAGATACAAAACACACAACA